GATTCTATGATTCTATGATTTTATGGAAAGGATGGTAACAATGATGTTTATTAAAGGAAAATACAAAAGGAATTTGATTGAGTGTGTGGCCTTAGAGTCTAGTTACTTCAGGACTCTTACAACTCTAAGGTATTTTGGCCTTTAGTTGAAAGTAAATGTTGTCTAAGCATGAGTCCTTCCATGTAGATCTTGTCTTACCATTGCATAAAAGATGTAAGAGTTCAGTAATATGTAGAAATAGTATTTTTTTCACTACATGGGTAGCCACAAGGCTAAGAACTCCATAAAAGAAAAGAAAAGAATTTAACAAATCACTGGTTAAAAATTGCAAGTAAATCTGAGGGTGAAATTTCCAGAAATAGACAAAAAAAAATAAAAATACCTTACTAAAAACTGATCCATTTTAGAAAATGAGGCTTCTTATTTGCATATCCATCTTTGAATTTGCATCCATGCAGAATATAAATGACCTGACCGAATGAACAGTACAGTATGGCTCACAGTATTCAATTTCATCTGGAAAGTAAAATACAAGTTAATTAAAGCAATGTGAAAGTATTTTGCATTTTTACCTCTTGCATAGTATTTTGTTCCATCTCTGTAATTAACTCCTTTTTTACAATTCCTTTAGAAGCATGATCACACATGAACTATTACATGAAACCATCTGTTTTAATTCTTTGACTCTGTTTTTTAGAAAAACCAGCAGCTGCACCAGCAGCTAAGAAAGCAGAAGTGGAAGGAAAGCTTTATTTTGTGTCAGAGCCTCAGAGTATCAAAGTCATGGAAAGTAAGAACTCTTTTCAAAAAAGTACATTGTCTTCTATTTGCTTGTAGCTTTTGTTTGAGATTATGTCCTGCTGTCATAGACAGCTGAAAAGACTTAACTTCTTCATTTGCATCTTTCTGCAGAGACTGTTGCAACATTTATTGCAAAAGTTGGAGGAGACCCGATTCCAAATGTTAAATGGATGAAGGGCAAATGGAGGCAACTCAACCAGGGAGGTCGCATTATAATCCAGCAGAGAGGAGATGAAGCCAAACTAGAAATAAAAGCCGCAATGAAAACTGATTCTGGCATGTACAAATGTGTAGCTTTTAACCAACATGGAGAAATAGAGAGGAGTGTAAACCTACAAGTTGAAGAAAGAAAGAAAGAAGTTGTTGAAGGGGATCTCAGGGCAAAACTAAAAAGGTATACGGAAAGTTTTTATAGATTAATTTGCCATTAACACAGAAGAAACTTTTTTTGTTATATATCTCAGATAAAGATATAATTTTTTAATATTCATTAAATATAAATAACTGTACTAAAAATCGAAGCACCTGACTAGACTAAACTAAAGGATTCCACTGCACAGGGCAGCTCTAAGCTGATTAATTTTTTCACTGAACAACTTACTCGGAATGAAGCGTTGTGTATTTAACTTATGTCATTGATTTAAATAGTGCTCCAACAAAAAGGAAGGAAGAAGAGGAAGAGCAACCTATTGATATCTTGGAACTTCTCAAAAATGTAGATCCCAAAGAGTATGAGAAATATGCTCGCATGTATGGTATTACAGATTTCCGTGGCCTCCTGCAAGCCTTTGAGTTACTAAAGCAAACACAAGCAGAAGAAAGCCATAGATTGGTAAGATATAGCATGACTGCAACATTGGCTTTGTTAAGAGTAACATAGTTCCTTTGAACAGACTTCGTGTCCTCATTCTGATGTTACTGTGTGTGCAGGAATTTCTGGTTCCTCTTTAGATCTTTTACTGACGGTTCTCAATTTCTTGCATGTTCAAACCCAAGAAGAAAGAATGGGCCTTCTGGCCAAGTATATTCTGTCTTCACAACTTTGCTGCAATTTTTAAGATGGGAAGATATGCTAGTTACAGTACAGTTACAGAAAATTTGATGTAGGAACTAATTCTGTGTTGGATGAACATGACAGCTTGCCATTTAGAATCCTTTAATCTTTGAGTATATTCTGCCTTTTTACAGGAAATTGAGCTCACAGAAAAAGCTAAAAGAGAAGATCAGGAGTTTGATGAGCTTGTAGCTTTTATTCAGCAACGACTCTCACAGACAGAGGTAACACATTTTTGGACTGATTTGTGAAATATTCAAACCCATAACAGGCAACTTGAAACTAATTTAAACTAATATTTTTCAGCCAATTACTCTGATCAGAGACATCGAAAATCAGATGGTTTTAACAGATGAGGATGCTATCTTTGAATGTGAGATTAAAATTAATTATCCAGAAATTAAACTTTCATGGTACAAGGGAACCCAAAAACTGGACTCCAATGACAAATATGAAATTAGAATTGAAGGTGATCGCCACATACTGAGAATCAGGAACTGCCAACTTGAAGATCAGGGAAATTTCAGAATAGTGTGTGGACCACACATTGCCAGTGCCAGGCTAACTGTGATCGGTAAGTGTACTTTTGAGGTATGTATTTGAATTAATTTACACTTTAATTATTCCACTGTCTGATGTCTGCTAAAATGTATGTTTTAACATGCTAACAGAACCTGCAGTTGAACGGCATCTTCATGATACTACTTTCAAAGAAGGAAACACATGCACACTGTCTTGTCAGTTCTCTATCCCAAATGCCAAGTCTCAGTGGTATAGAAATGGGAGACCCATTAAGATAGGAGGGAGATACTCAACACAAGTGTCTGACAAAGTACACAAACTCATCATCAAGGACGTTAGAACAGAAGACCAGGGACAGTATACCTGCAAACTTGACAATCTAGAAACAACTGCAGATCTGGCCATTGAAGGTTTGTAAACAGATACAGAATCTCTTTAATACGGTAGTGATAAACTGTTTCTGGATATTCCATTAACAGAACAAATGAAAATAAAAGGAATTTCTTAAAGACGTATTTTCAGACTTGGAAACAGACTAAATGAGAAATTTTGCTGTCCTTTCTTTTTGAATAGTATGTGACATACTTGTGTAAGTATTTTTTATTAAATCGTCATTACTAATGTCCCCTGACCCTCAAACAATCTGAGTCATACTTGCTTTTATTTTCTTTTTCTCTGATACTCTAATATTTTCCTTGGATTTCCTCTTTTTCTTAATTATTCTTTATCTTTAATTTCCTTAATGCTTTCTCTTGTATAATTTACCTGCACAGCAATCTTGTTATAGTCGTAATCTTATGTCTTCTGATCTTCATTCTTACATAGAAAACTTCATAGAATATGGAATCCCTTTTTCTTACTCTACTTTTTCAAGATCTATTGTTATTATCTCTTATTATAATGTAGCTGTTATTATGAAAACAATGAGAAGGAATTAGATAAGCTAAATGACCTGGTGATGCATAAAAATTGATATATTTTTTGTTTCTAAAAACAGCCGAACCAATTCAGTTCACAAAGAGCATACAGAACATTGTAGTGAGTGAACACCAGTCTGCAACCTTTGAGTGCGAGGTGTCTTTTGATGATGCGGTTGTGACATGGTATAAAGGCTCTACTGAACTGAGAGAGAGTCCCAAGTACAGCTTCAGAAGTGAAGGCCGCTGTCATTATATGACTATTCACAATGTTACTGCAGAAGATGAAGGTAAAAATGCATGGAATATTTGTGCCGTTGCCATTCTTTTATCTAATTTTTCTGTCTGGTTGTTTAATGATAAAGGCATATAAATATCAATATTCTTGGCTGTTGCAGGTGTGTATTCTGTAATTGCTCGTCTTGAACCAAGAGGAGAAGCGAGAAGCACTGCAGAGCTCTATCTAGTAACCAAAGGTTAGTGAGTTTGCTAAACAAATTTGTGATCATAACCATCTGCAAATTTGTGAGTTTGAAACATGGTTCTGAAAAAATAAATAGTCCTAAAAGAAATCTAATGTTCTTTTGCAGAAATCAAACTGGAGTTGAAGCCACCAGGTAAAGATCATGAGCAAGGCTGACACAAGATCATGTCTATACTCAGTCATAGATTTAGTGCATTGCTCTGCTTTATTTTTTATTTTCAAATCCTTTTTTCCTGGTTACAGTAAGTTAAACCTGCACCCTGAAAAAATATTCCTCATCTATAGATATGAGGAACTATTTATTCTCATAAATAGTGCAATGAATACTGTGATAATTCCAAAATCAGTGATATTAATGTGTCTGGAGTCTTATTTTGTACAATATGGGAAACCACATTCTCTAAAACACAAAAGTTTATTTTTGTTTGAATAACTGAGGAATAGAACAATGATGAGGTACCAATGAATCGATTTGATGTCCTCTGCACAACTGAAAAAAAAAAAAAAAGGAGGCAAAATGGATAGCAATCATCTCCTTATGATATACAATGACCTTTTCTGAATGTTAAGAGCCTATTCCAAAATCATGCAAGAACTATTTAGAAATAAAATGAAGCAGAGTAGAGTCTGGCCAGATTGAAAGATTAATGTAATTAGTTATCTATTAGTTGGCTAGCTTATTCTTGAGGAGCAAGGTATAATCCTTGTATGCTAGAACAAGAAATAATAAAGCACAATGAACTACTATTCTTGGGGACAGCGTATTCAAATCCATTTTTTTTACTAAGTCAATTAAACATTTTGATTTTCTAGATGTTCCTGATGCCAAGGTTGCAGTTCCACCTCAAAAACCAGCTGAAGGTAGGGTAAACAAACAATACTTATTCCGTAGTGCTGTTTTATATCTGCACTGAAGCTGCAGGCCAGTGGGAACCTCAGAGAAAAATCTTTGACAGCTCAGTGATAAGATCTAGTTAATTACCTCTATACAAATGTAATATGAGCAAGGCTTGGCTTGGATAAGCTTGTTTTGCTGTGTGGAAGATGAGAACTATATACAGGTAGTGGCAGGAATGAAGCCTTTTGTCTTAAAAAGAGTTGGTGCTTTCCATCTTGTTTTCCTATCAGTCTCTTGTTCATTCAGTCTTTGATTTCCATTTTCCTCTTCTGATCATTCTTTATTTTCACTTTTTCTTCTTTTTGCCACAGAAATACCTTTTAAACAAGCTGTCTGAATTACTACCCTTTGGGGAAAAAAAAAAAAGGAAAATAAAATACAAATACTATTTTAAAGCCATACAATAGATTGCATGTTTATTGCAAATGGTGTCTCCCCAGGCTCTAGTATTGTACTACAGACTACAAACATAATGTATATTTCTATTACATGCAATAGTTTACTATGAATCTTAGAAGTTCAATCTTCTTGGTTTCATTTCCAGGATAATTTGATAAATACTTGCAGTGGCAGCAGGAGGGGAAAGATTTCATATTTAGATGAATTACTATCAGCAAAGATAGGAGAGTGATGGCAGTAAAGAAAATAAAGCTGAGAAGGGTCAGGGTTCAAATAAAGGTAGACTGGGGATTCCCACTCCAAATATATTCTTCCAGCTACAGTAAACTGTCAGAATGAGCATCATGTTTACTTTTATTCTGCAGCATCAGTAAAATCATCTCATCTATTTTCCGAATGCACTAGGATTTTTCTTCATTTACAAGAAAACATGATACTCACATTTTATTCTAAATATTTCATTTTTTCCTACAAGCTGCTCCTATTCCTATTCTTCTGCCTCTTGTTCCACCGCCAGAGGAGAAAAAGCCAGGTAAGAATACTTAAAGTATTTGATCAGCATGTAAGTGTTTCATTATGACTGTTGGTTGGGTTTTTTTAATTTACGTTTTAAAATACATTGTTTTTCAGCAGAGAAAAAGGTTCCAGTAAAGAAGGTCTCCAAAAAGGTGGTTAAAAAAGGTCCTGAAGTAGTCCCACCACCTAAAGGTAATTTTTTTCCCTTTTCTTAAAAAAAACTGTTTTAAAAACAGTAAGATTACCTTGTGGCAACAAGGTAATTTGTTTCGAATTACCTTGAATCAATTAAATCTCTGATTTTTGTCATTATGTTAAAAACATACACATTTAAAATCCAAGCTGATTAGGACTGCCTAAAAGTAGTCACCTCTTTAAATGCACCTCTAGTCACTTCTTCAAACGCACCTCTTTAAACAGTATGTGAGGATGAAATCATTTCATTAACTGCGAACATCCAACACACCTTGCAAATTCCAGGCTATGATATGATTTTTTTTTTTTTCCTTTTTTTAAGTTCCTGAGGTGCTGCCAGAGAAGCCCAAAGAGATCAAAATAACATCCATGGCAAGGAGAGAAGAGATTCGTGAAGAAAAGAAGGAAATATATGAAAAGCCCAAAGAAATTTATGAAGAATGGGAAGAAGATTATGGAGAAGACCATGACTATTATGTCAAGGAAGAAGGCTATGATGAAGGGGAAGAGGAATGGGAAGAAGCTTATGAGAAAAGGGAAGTGACTTATGAAGAAAAACGAGTCATTCACGAAGAAGGTATTTTAATAATGATACCATTTTATTTCTTCTCTTTTCTCATATTTATTATTAAAGCCCCGAAATTTTGAGCCAGGCAACATTTTTTGAAACTTGTTTTGTTACAATAACTTGAACATTAATATGCCAAGTTTTAGCTGGCACTTGATGATAAGACAAGGATTGTAGTATGGCAAGGTGTAGATGCAGATAGAAATTGATACATTGTACTTTGGTTGCCAATGGACTTTGCAGATTGGGACATCTTTAAAACCTAGTATGAGTTAGTAGTTTGTAAGAATATGTGTCATTTTCGGTTGTTTTGGATATTTGTTTGATCATTTCCACGTATTCTATATAAATTTGATTTAGGCTAAATTTTTCACACATTAATTTCTTGATGTTAATAGCTGTATTTTGCAATTCCTTGCATGCTTTAACTGTCTTGGGTAGTAGTAACATGTATGCCTCTAAGAACAGAATTTGGATTTGATGAGAAACCATCAAACTTGGAAATAAGCAGAAAAATTTACTGCAACAATTGGATCTCCAAAACTCTGTGTGTGTTTTTCAACTTCATAAACTTATAATGGCATAACTGATACCTTTTGCGTGTATTGAGCCTTTAGACAATGCATTTTCCATCATTAAGTGATGTTACTGTTTTTCAAGTTGTTGAAGTTCCTAAGAAGCCTGTGCCTGAGCGAAAACCACCAGCAATTACAGCAGAAAAGAAGGAAAAGAAAGAAGTAACAGTTCGTAAAGGTATGACTTTCCTGCAAAACTAACAGGAACATGCAGATTAAGATTGCTCATGCATCTCCTTCAAACTGAACTGAGGTGGTTATTCATATTTCCTTGAAAAGGAGGGAATTCTCTTGATGTTGGACAATGGCATGAGCAAGGCTCATGGCAGCTGTTTCTCTTCTCTCAGCTCTTATTTTCAAGCAGAGAGAGAATAGTGGCAATGGTGGTTGAAGCAAACCAAGAATTGCTGGCAAAATCAAACAGAGCTTCAGTTTTCTTTCCTTCTCACTGGATATTAGCCTTGGGCATGGGTGGTGCTTTTGAGCCAGTGAACACTGCACTTCTGAGAAGTGTCATCCATTTAGGTTACTGCATATCTCTCAGGGGAGGGTGGGTCTGATTACCTGTTTCACAAGTGCCTTTACCACCACTGTTCACCAGCAGTGAATAAAGCACTGAACAACGCACAGGGTGCACAAATGTTGTAACATCCTAAACAAGAAAATAGCCAGTTCTACCTCGTTTGTGTCTGGGAAATAATTTGCAAGATTATTTAAACAATAAATGTATCTGAATTACTTACAGTTATCAAGAAACCTGTAGATGAAAAAGTGGAGATAACCACTCAGAGGGTTGCAGAAGAAAAAGTCAAACAGGCTGAGGGTAACTACTGTTTAAATACCTTAATGACATCTTTACATGAAGTAGTGGCTATTGTTACTTAGCTAATCTGCATGTGCTTTGTCTTCATTTAAACATGGGTCTGGTCAATTTTTCAGTCTTTGAAACATCTAATAAAAGCTTCTGCTGAACTGTATTAAAGGAAGATGAAAGGGAAAATACTAAATGCAGATGCTAACTACCAATGCTTTGAGAAAGGAAGTGAGTGTAAAATTGCACTGGGTGAAACACTATGTTTCACTCTAAGGTGAAGAAGTGAAATTCCCATCTTCCTCAGTTTTCCATCTTGACCTGTCTACCAGGATGTCTTGGTTAATAGTTTGTTATGAAATAAAGATGCATCCTTATTCTCTTGGTAGCTACCTCTTCTTGTATAGCATTTCCCATTCTGCAGCAGGAGTCTGTTAGCTGCAATTCAGTATATGTCAGGATATGACCTGTGCACTAAACACCCTGAGTTACCCAGCCCCTTTAGAAAGCAGCAATAAAAAGAAGCAGACACATTCATTCTGTTGCTTTGCGATGTCCCAAGGAGCCTGACTTAGCTACTGAGTTAGATTATGTTTGTCTTGTTTGTTGTATTTTCAACATCATTGTTAGATAGTTGTACACTTATTTTGAACTCTGCTAAATACATGACTGAGTAACAAAATTTTAATGCCAACAGTTACCAAGAAAGTTCTACCCCCAAAACCTACACCAATGATCATTGAGGAAAAAGTTATGAAAAAGGAAGGTACAGAGCAGCATCTTTCAATTGCAGTTTACATTTTTCCAGCACCCTGTATGTTCTTGTGCTTCTTGTGAATATGTGGGCCTGTGCCTATGTACCTGGATCTATTGTACTAGATATGTTGTGACTACTCTCAGTAGTTAAATAGTATGTGTGCCATGCTTTTATCTTTCATAAAGTCTTTTTTTAACATTTTTGTGGCTAACCTTGTGATTCTTGTTTAAACAGCCTACAGGATATTGCAGTGTGATTTAGCTTTTTCTTCATCTTTTCTGCCTGCTGGCCTATGCTTACATAATAAGCATAATTTTGGCCCAATGCCCCAAAATTTCTTTGAAGAACCACTTTTGGAATTCTTCTGATATACTACTCCCAAAAGCCTGTGCACGTGTTTATATTTTCAGTTTAAAGTTGTCCGTGTCTTTTAGTCTTTAACAGATACTAAATTTTATACTTGTATGCTTGTTTTGTGTTCATATTTTAGAATATGAATACTGACTGTCTAAATATGTCTAAGATGTAAATGTGCAATACAGATACAGATTTGATAAAAACTCACATGCTGACTACCACTAATGTGGATCTAGAATATGAAATACTAAACCAAAATCCTATCTTTAAAGTACCGACAGTAGAAACATGGACTGTTTCAGAAGAAAAGGTGTCGGTCTCTGTCCACAGAGAAGAAGAGTATTCATATGTCACAGGTATGTACAAAACCAAAAATCTGTGCACCCAGATCAAAACAACCTTTCAATCCTACTAGATTTTCTTTTAATCTATTTTTATGTATGACAAGTTACATATTTAGACACATCATATATTTGTCTTTCAATATGCATTGCTTCTTTTTGTTCATTGTGTTATGTAGCCTCAGTTTTCTTTAGATTATTAATAGATGTCAACATTTCAACTATTTTATCTTAACATTGTTTAAATGGTTTTCTTAGAAGAGCCACCAGAGCATGAGAAAAGAGTTGAAGAAAGATTTTTTGAAGCTGCTTACCCAATTGAAGGTAGATTGATTAAGAATGAGAGGCTAATCAATATTTAAGATTTTTAAAACAATTTGAATCTGTAGTTAATCAAAACTCATTGTGAGATTTGCACATGCTGTTGATTTTTCTGGATGTTTTTTCTGCATATTAGCACATGTGTTTCAGTGAGCTTAGTGTGCTGGACACACAAAATATCTTCTTAAAAAATTTTCAGATTTACTACGGACATTGATATTTCCTAGTTTAATATCTAAAATTCCTATTGTAGCACCTAAGGAAATCGAAGAAGAGGAGGAGGAAGAAGTAATTTCTACAGAACTGGAGATCCCTCACGTTGAAGGTGAATTAAAATCTTTGTATCATCATGTGCTCCATTTTTCTGAACTTTTACGTTGTCTGCCTGTACCACTCTTTACCAAAGGATAGCATATCAGAACTGAGATCTTTCTATAGCTCTGCTTTCAAAAGGTCAAACCCTACTGCATTTGTAATCTAATTCTTCTTCATCACTGCTTTAAATAATTCTTTCAATAGCTTTTTTTTTGAGATAAGCATATTCTATCTGTTTGATAAAACAGTATGTTTTTTGACATATAGTGTTCGCTTATCCGGTGTGTTGAAAGTAGCCTACTGTGATTTACCAAATATTTTTACTATCTCCTAAGTGTTCACCATCTATCTCTTTAAAGTGCCTGAGATACCAAAGAGGCATGTTCCAGAAGAAAGAAAGCCTGTTCCTGTCCCTAAAAAAGAGGCTCCACCAGCTAAAGGTATTCCTACTGCCCTAGTTAAAAAAAAAAAAAAAAAAATTGTCTTTCGTTATATTATTTTTCATGTTTTCTTGAATATATTTATGATTTTATTCTCTATGGGGCTTTGGTTTTGCATTATCTCCAAATGCATTATTTGATTTTGCATTATCTCCATTATCTCCATACTTTCACTTTTTCATTTGTGCTTGCAGCTTGCAGCTTGTATTTGTCTCAGCTTTGACACTTCTCTTTCCTAACAATCTTGTGCTTGTTGTTTGTATTTAGGTTGTGTGGCTTTTGCAGACAAGGTGTTTTTACTTCAATAGAGTGCCTTGAAAGGTGATAGTGAAGTAATGTTAACATTGGAATTTTATATGGTATCATAGTGTCTTTGCCATATAGTCCACTGTATGTCCGAAAGGCTGTAGATTGTACTATGTTGCAGTGCTCAGCTCCTAGTCCAGACACTATGTTCTATAAAGAAATCTTGGATTACTGAAATTTGGATAAGTGGTCCAAAAACTAAAGCGCTCTCACTTTGACAATGTTTTCCGAAGTTCCTGAAGTCCCTAAGAAACCTGTTCCAGAAAAGAAGGTTGCTGTTGACAAAAAGGAGGTGTCTCCCCCGGCAAAAGGTACAGCATCTTTTCAGTGTGGGCTTTAACCAGTCCTGTACTATTGTGCTGCTTTCCTAACTACTATTCACTTCTCAATATAAACATACGATAAATGTAGTCTTTGTGTGTGAAGTTGTGTGTTCTCCTCTAAGACAAACTCAAAGACCTTAAAAAGATTGCTTAAACAATTTTTAATACTTTTGAAGTTCCTGAAGTGCCTAAAAAAACTGTGCCTGAAGAAAAAGTACACATTCCTGTTCCCAAAGAAGAACCTCCACCTGCCAAAGGTATACTTAACAATGGAGTGTACATGTACCTGTTGAATATCTTTTTAATGTCTTTTTTGTTAGCCCATGCATAAGCATGTTTTGTTAGAAATTGATCTTTTATGTATAATTCTCTGTGCATGTATAATAGTTTTTTAGGCCAGGTAACATACTTGAGCAGCCCTTTCTTCAGTTAAGAAATCAGTCTTAAAGCACTTGATAGGCTTCCAGAGACTCATTTAATTTTTTTTTTTTTTAAGTGTATGTTGCTCTTGTCTCATACCTTTCTATGTTAAGTGTCTGAATCTGTTATGTGATGTGTCTTGATATTCTTATAAATGGATTAATAAAATTCTATAATACTCCAATGAATCTTTGAAATATAGAATTCAGTTATATTTTATCTTTTTTAAGTGCCAGAGGTGCCTAAGAGAGCTCCCCCAGAGAAAAAAATTACTGTTCCAAAAAAAGAGGAAGCTCCACCACCTAAAGGTACACTTGAATAAATAACATTATTTGTTTGTTTTCTTAAGCACCTTGTTTATGTCCAATTTTGGCTTTGATTTTTAAGTGAATCTCATTTTGGCTGTACTTCAGTTACATTAGCTATGTATCTTCTGTGTCAGTTTTGTGGATAACTGTGCTATAGATGTAGTCTTAAAACATCTGTAATTTTAATTACTTAATATTATTATAATTCATATCTCTGAAGTGCCAGAAGTACCTAAGAAACCATCTCCAGAAGAAAAAATACCACACGTTCCTAAAGTAGAAGCTCCACCTGCAAAAGGTACAATATTGTTCACTGTAGTATCATTTATTGTAGTCTTTAGAATATTGCATTTGTTTCAGCTTGCTCAGCCATTGTGTTTTATAAGAAAAATATATCCATGTGTAATCTTTTTGAATGATACATTTCTGTTATGTGATGCTTTTGCCAGTTTTGCACTTTATAAGTCCTAAAACTAAATACTTTTTTTAAAGTGCCTGAAGTTCCTAAGAAACCTGTCCCTAAAGAAAAAGTATCTCCTGCTGTTCCTAAAAAAGTTGATGCTCCTCCAGCTAAAGGTATACTTTACAGTAGAATGAAAGAATATACAGTTTCTCAGCTTCTGTTTATATGTTCTGTATTGTCATCAGTCATTGATTTGTGCTTTCATTGTGAATTCTACTGTTCTGATTTTGTGACAATGAATCATGACAGTATGTTGTATGTGTTATGCAATACTTACAAAAATATTATTTCTAAATATTGAATCTCTGTTATGTGTTATGTGCTCAGTACACTTAAGCAATTCTTTGGAAACTTAGATTTAGCATTTTGCAACATTGCTTTCACAATGGAATTACGAAACCATACATTTAATATTATTATCTTTCAAAGTGCCTGAAGTGCAGAAGAAAGCAACTTTTGAAGAAAGAGTACTTATTACAGAAGAAAGAGTATCTGTTGCGATTCCAGAGGAAATCCCACCACCTGAAGGTACACTGTAAACAGACAGTAGTGAGAATCTTCTGCTTTGACTACAAGTCTATTGTTCTAAGACAAAGATAAAAATACACAAAAAAACTGTGTAAGTTATTTTACATGAGTTTTGTGTGGAACGTTTTACAGATTTGCAGGCAGTTAAGAGCCTCCTGAGTGCCATTTACAATTTCAGTCTTAAATGCCAGGATCCCACCCCATTGACATGAATAGACACTCCTCCACTGAATACAATGGTCTTCAGATCAGGCTTTCATGAAATCATAGTAAGCAGTACGAATGTAGAGTGTTGAGTTTAAACTCCGCTAATTAGGACAGTAACCATCCGTTTGTCGTACTCCCTACAAAGCCCTCTGTAGCCCTGCAGATAACAATACTATTTCTCTCTGCAGTGTTAGCTTCTCACCAGCTATTTTAGTTCACATTTTGATACTCAGGTTGAGATCAGTTGTTTTAAGTTAGTATAATTCCGTAAAATATCTGCTTCTACTAACAACTAGCCAGTCAAGCCAATTTACATAATCTGTTAAAAACGCATAAATGAGTTTTTAAAAGCAGATATGGAAGTTATCTATCTAAAATATGAGCATGCAAATATATATTCATATGGATACATGCAGTGTTAATTTCTGTTTATCTCCTGCAAATTAACTTTTTATCCCAGAAGAAATTGATGTTTTTCCTGCTGCAGTCACATTTGTAGATGTGCACATGCCAGGATTTCCTTTCAATTCTTCACCTACCCTTCTCATCTTGTTCCTGTCCTTACTTTGTTGTAGCTTGGTCAAGGAGCAACCTATAATTCTTTGACTGTTGTTTCTTCCTGCCTCAACTGTTGTGATAGGGAAGTTTGGGGAGCTGAGGTATTCTGATGCACTGACAGTTGACCAGTGAAGGATATTTGAGAGGTACAACAGCACACATTAGGGTACACGGGACACGGACAAAACACATCATTTAGAGCAAGTTATACATATGTGTGTGCACAGCACTTTCTGTGTTGTATGCGTATCTGTCATTGTCATATAGAACTTGTAAGAACTGGTCTTCATCTTCTCCATCCATCGATCTATCCATCCATTCATCCATCCATCCATCTATCCACCAAACATACTAAAACTAATAATTTTCTTTAAAGAACCAACAGTTGAAGAATGGGCTGAAGAAGAAATTGAGGAAGTGTCTGTTTCCATTCATACAGAAGAGATTTCTGAAGGTATAACCACAATTCAGGAATACTAGGCAAAAGCAGGCAAAAACAAAAAGCTTTTTTTTTTTTTTGTACCAAAAATAGTGTGGATTAATATCTATTCATAAAGAAAAGTTTACTACTATATAAATATGTTTCATATCTTATACATTTTAATGCTAAGAATGTCTACAATTTCTATTACTTGTTTTTGAAAAGTGTAGTAGTTAATCCTATTTTGACACTGTGAAAATAATGAGGTAACTCTTGGATGTTGAAAATTATCAGCCTTTCTGCGTTTTCTTTATAAAAATTCTCTTTTGGAAGTTCCTCTTCCATCAAATTGCTTGGAGGAAGTAAAGTCTTTCAGAATAACATGGTGCACTCTGATTCCTCAGACCTTTTCATCACAAAATGACTAAATTGTTTCCACCTGTAAGTTCATTGGTGGTAACATAATGCTGTGAAGGATGGTAACATACTCTTATTGACTCAATTTCTGTTACAAATGACACTGTACAAAGTATTTTCAAGGGATGGCTTTAGTCAAGGAATTTTTCTTGATATTTGTGAGAGGCTTTCTCAAAGTGAACAAATTCCAACATTAGTGAACTAGTGGACAGAGGAATGGAAAGTGCTGGTCTAGTACTTCAAATACTGAGCATTTTCAAATTCCACAGAAATACAAGATAAGAGCTCAACCTCAGTTCCATTTAAGTTGTTTGGAGTTTTTCCATTGGTTCCAGAGGGAGCAGGATGTTTTGAATGTAGGTTTTGTAATATCAGAGGTGTCTGTTAGTAAAGTGCACTGCTTATTCTTGCCTTACAAATATTTTGTTCCCTACCAGGGCCATAAAGACAGTAATAGATATCAAATACTTAAACTCAAGTATTTTTTTTATTTTACTCTTTTGAAGTAACTGAAGAAGAGTCTTACTACATAGAGGAGAGGGTAACTGTTCCTAAAAGAGAGGAAGGCCCACCCACTAAAGGTATACATTCTTTTCATTACAAAATATTGGTTGTTTCATCATTCAGAGCATTATGTTGTCACTATGTGTTTTTCTCTATTTGTGGGGGTTTTTGTGTTAAAGAAATGTGTGCATGTTATAATTATACTACTCCTCTTTGTAAAACTATGTATTGTAATCTTTTAAAGTGCCTGAGAAGCATAGGAGAGTTGTCCCTGAACCAAAAGTTCCAGCTGCCCCTAAGGAAGCACCAGGAGTTAAAGGTATAAACCAGTTCCTCATGTGGGTGATGTATCTTCAAGTGGATTATGTTTGTCTTACTGTCTTATTTGTACATGTTGACGTGGGTAGTCTCTGCTTCCAGTGATGAATGGTTGTCTCAAATTCCATCTTGTAGTATGAAAAGTATTGTTTGCGTTAATTCAGTAAAGCACATTGTGATGTAGTAGGCAATTACAAATATTACACCTTAATATTCTTTCACATCTTCCTTCTCATCTTCATTTTTCTGAAGTTCCTGAAGTTCATAAGAAAGCAGTTCCTAAAGAGAAAGTACCTGTCCCTGTGCCTAAAAAAACAGAAGCTCGACCAGCAAGAGGTATAGCAGTGGTTTGTTCCTGTTGCAAAAAATACCTTGTTTGCTGCATTCCATCTTTAATCTATATGCATGTTGTTAAAAAATATATCTCACATACCAAATTTCTTCATCATTAAACGTGTACTGATGTGCATTGTCTACAATGTGGCCTGTGGCCTGTGTTTTCTTAATGAGATTTATGTGTTATTTCATCTTCTATCTTACATCTGTTGGTGAAATCAATCACATTCTCTAAAGTTGCACAATCTTTTTTAAGAACCTGAAGAAGAACGAGTGCCCACTTTCAAGATAGAAGTTGAAGAACCTCCATCAACCAAAGGTAAACAAACTGAGAATATTATTATCATGGAGGTTTTTTTTTGTTTGGCCTTGCAGTATTTGTGTTCAGACATTTTACTTAAATAAATTGTGTGTTAATATCTGTAACCTCTGTCTGGATGTCCCCTTTCTTTTGACTATTTACTCTTCTTTGTGCTATGGCTGTAAAGTATACTCTTCTGCAGTGTCTCATTTTTGTTGCTGTTGAAGTTTACTTAGCATTTTCTTTTTAAAAAATCAGATTAAGTAGAAAAAAATTACATATGTCTGCATTTTAAATATTGCAATTAAATATTCTTACACTTATTATTTTTAAGTGACTGAAGTGCACAGGAAAATTATCACAGAAGAAAAAGTTGCAGTTGCTAAAAAAGAGGAGGCTCCACCAAAAAGAGGTATATAATTTTTTCAGATCTACAGAAAAGAAATCTTGTTTCAGAATACTGATTTATATTTATAATGTGTAATTGTTTAACACAAACCGTTACATTCAGTGTTTACTGTCTTTTTTAAATTTGACTTGAAGAAATGTCAAGTCTGCATTTGTGTTTTGTCACCTGATTATGTTCATAAACTGTGATTGATTCAAAATCTTTTAAAATAAACTTTTTGTTTTTAAAAATGCCAGCAGTACCCAAGAAGCCTATGCCAGAAGACAAAGTACCTGTTCCAATTTCAAGGAAAGTGGCAGCTCCACCAGCTAAAGGTATCCAAGTTCTTTTGAAAGTAGAGAAGGCTTCTAAACATCAGATGTCCATGTGCATCATACTCACCATCTGCCTGGTTAATCAAATCCCAGTCTGTTCTGACTTGACTCTAAATGAAAAGGACTTTTGTCTTCTCCTCTGCTAAAGAATGCAGAAGGTGACAGAGAACAGTCACAAACCTGCATTCTCTGCATTTTTTAGCTACTATTTAACTTCATTGATCACTCTGGCTGCTTAAGACCTTTGGAAAGCTGAGTGAAGGCTTATTTTACTCTTTTTACTTTTATTACTTTTTTTAGTCAGTGAAGAAGTTAAATAAATATGAACACATTTAGAAAAAAACTATCGATGTTTTATAACATTGTAAATATTCAGCGAAAGGTTTCAAACTTACAAATGCATCCTCTGTTTCTGTGATTTTCTTGTGTTTGAAAAGTGATTTTGTTATGTATCCTGTGAGTATTGTGTTCTGTGGTTTAATTATATTTCTGAAGAGCCTAGAGGCAAATTATTTACATCTTACTTTTGTCTCAATCATTCTGTCTTGCTTCGTGATGTGTGAATATACTGTTTGTTTTTGATGTGTTTTTGTCTATATATCTATTATTCTAATATTACATGTATTATTTTAGTAGAAATTATTTCAATATTTAACTATATTTCTCCTGTTACTAAAATTACATGATGTTACAAAGTGTTTAATTTATCTGGGGAATTTATTCCTGGAACCCCCCAAACTAGTAATCTTCAAAATTCTTAATGCATATCTAGCTACTATGCATTAAAGCTTCAACTGGTCACTTTCTCTGTTAATTTAAATGTCTTTATGTTTGTATGTCTGGTGTTATTGTTGTATTTATTGTAAGTATCTTTGCTATGTAAATGTGTACTATTTCCCCATAATTGTTTGTCATAGTTCTTTCATATGAACTTCAGAAAATGTGATTTCTTTCAGAATTTAGTATTCTTACAATTACTATCTTTAAAGTGCCAGAAGCACCGAAGAAAATTGCCAGAGAAGAAAGAGTATCCGTTGCTGTTCCAAAAAGAAAAGTGACTCCACCACCAGAAGGTACTCCTGCCCATGGATTAATCTATAAACAGACTGTCCTTATGCAATACCACAGGGCCTTCAAGCCTGCTGGTCTGTCACCTTTCTTGAAGTTCTAATCTTAGAGTCATAGAATCATTTAGGTTGGAAAAGACCCTTAAGATCATCGAGCCCAACCATTAACCGAACACTACCAAAACCACCACTGTGTTCCACCACAGTCCCAAGGAAATCTTAACAGGGTCTTTGAGCGACACTAAAGACATATTTTTCCCGATTACTCCGGGTGTGGGAGGTGTCAGGAAATAATGACTACTATTCCAAGAAACCCCAAATGGGATATTTATTATTGTACATAGTATTTAACAGAAAAAAAAATATTAATGTTAGACTCTGTCTTTGAAGTACCAACAGAAGAAGAACACTGGGCTATGTCAGAGGAAGTATCCATTTCTCTTCACACAGAAAAGGAGATTTCATACACAGGTATGAATGGACTAAAAAGATTCTATGTCCAAATTTACATCTTGTCATCTACTTAAGAAAAAATAAATACAACAAACCACAATTTCGTGTCTTGTGCAGACGACAAGTTTATCCTAAAAGTCAAGCTTTCAGATTAGCACAGTCCCATATATTGGACCTGCCAGTTCAAGGGCTTTGAGCAAAGTCCACAGCTTTTAAAGAAAGTTCATTGCTGTATCACTTTAGGAGGCAATCTATTGACTTGTGAAAAATGACCCACAAGATGCCTCATGCTTATTGCTTTCAGATGTGCTGCTGTTGATAAACGGTGTTATCATATTTCATCATGAAAGATTAATACAACCACATCAGTGTGAACTTAAATAATCTATTCAGTCTCTCTGTTGAAGAATGATGAGGGGACAGGCAGATCGTGAATACTAAGAGGAGGATGGAATAGGATCTTTTATTGGCTTTCTGTAAAGTGGGGGTAGTATACCAGCTGGTCTGGAAAAAAAGGATCAAAGCAGAAGGACGTTAAATGCAGCAGTTCTCCCATGAGATACCAAATAGAGGTGTTGTAGCTAAGACAAAAAAATCCGAAGGAACCTGAGCTTGCTGGAAAGGGGACTCATGCCGAATGCAAGTTTTGTTATCAAATCAACCAATCCAATCAGTTTTAGTTTAAGATTTCAAAAGCAGAAGTACCTGGCACTTACAATTAAATGTCAAGCAGGTCTCTGCCAGAAATATTTAAAGAGCTGGACAGTCTTCACATTGCCCCAAAAATAACATTCATTTAGCAAGCGTCAAGACTTGTGGCAGCCACTCATCTGTGCTTACTGTATCTTGTCATGAAGAATGCATGTGGAAATTCTCAAATCTGTCACTGACAGAATGGATTTCATCTCTTAAGAAGATCAAAAAAGATCTCCAATCTGCTAAGAAAATACCAAAGTTATTGTCTCACTTGACAAGTCTAGTAGTCTCCCAGATGTCAAAACGCTAGGGTAATTTTCTGTGAAGTTTCGAGTTATATTGGTCAAAAATTTCCCAAGACACCTGCCTCAGAAGACAAGACCCATGCATTGCTGTTCTGAAAAGGAGAATATGCTGCTTAAATATAGCATGCATTCTTTCCTGAATAAATCTTAAAAACTGAACATATTCACGCCTTAATCTTTTGGAAATTTTCCTGCTCTTATAGAGAATGGCTCCTTGCTGTGCCTGAACAAATAAGGCACTTTGTAAAGCAATCAACAGAAGAGGAAAAATACCTTCCTCACTGAGCAATTAATTCTTTTGCCTTTAATTACACCAGTGTTCTTATCCATTGTTAGTCACTCACAAAGGTTTTCTTTATGTGCTCCCTCATCTTCATCTAGTTTCGTGTGCAAATCTTTTGTCACCAGTGATCGAGGACTCTTGATCTATTACCGAGGTAGTACAAAGAGTCACTGTTGTGGAGAGGGGCTACCACGGAGGATAGTGGGATTTAGTGATTTTCTAATTGGATTAATTTGGATTTTGAGTTCTGCCCATTAGCAAGCTTAACATCACTGCTGGCAGCAGTGGATGAAGGAGGAATCTTATCAACTGCTTATAATGGGCTCTTGAAATGTTTGAAAAGCAGCCTAATGATGTCCATAATTACATGTCCATTGTCAATAAGTACACTTGTCTTTTACATATCAGCCATGTATTTGTAAGATATCTATTTGTTTCTTGCCAAGAATATTTTTGTTTTTAAACAACACTTTTAAAAATTCTTAAATGTAAATGTACTGTATCTTTTAAGTGCCTGATGTACCAGAGAGGGCTATCATTGAAGAAAGAGTACCAATTTATCCGCCCAAAAAAATGGCAAGACCACCAGCCAAAGGTATACTGGATAAAGTATTGAAATATGGTATAAATGTTTTTTGTGTCTTGTATGTTCCATGTACTGTGAATACTGATTTGTTTTCTATGGAATGTTCATCTTTTGGTTTAATTCTTATTTGACAATGCCTTGTGATCCTTATTATTAGTGAGATATATGTGCTAAATTTTAAGATTCTTTTAATTGATATCTTTTTAAGTGCCTGAAGTACGCAAGACAGTTGTCCAGAAAGAAAAAGTGTATGTTGAAGTTCCTCGGTATCAAGAAGAGGAAGAAGAAATTCCAAAATATGAAGAGGAAGAAGCCACCAGATATGAGAAGGAAGTAATCCGTTACAAGGAGGAAGTCCACCATTATGAAGAAGTTAGCCACTATGAAGAGGAAGTTCCTCAATATGAAGAAGTTCCTCAATATGAAGAGGAAGAAGTCACCCATTATGAAGAAGCAGCTGCTTATTATGAAGAGGAAGTTCCTGAATACGAGGAGGAAGAGTTAGAAGTTCCCCAATATGAAGAGAAGGCTCCCCCACCAGTTAGAGGTATACTTTAATTTTAGGATTTGTGTGAGAAAAAGTAACATCTTTTCATTCTGTTAATATACAACAAAGTTTGTTTTAATGTTACAGTGTGCTTTACAGTGTGCCTTTTTTCAAGATGTTTAATGATTAGTATATAGTGTAGAAAACATGCAATGGCTTTATGTCTACTTTTTACTACTACCTCTATAAATATAAATCTTCCTTGTCATACATATTAATTCCTCTTTTATATGAAGTTTGTAGAACCCACTAAGAAAATTGAACTGAGCTTTATTTCATCCTCATCTGGGGTCCAATTTTCCTATCAGACTGTGCTTGAAATACTTAGAAATGTTTATAAGAATTCTGCAATCAGAGACAAAAAAATATGTTTATCTAGAAAATAGGTAGGGTACTTGAAAATAAGTGATTTAGGAACACAAGTTGCATTGACTTCCTCTCAGAAATCTTTGAAAATCCTATAGTCACTGTTTATTTATTTCTTGAAGGGAATAATATATTTTCATGGAAAGCAAAGATATAAAAGTTCTATTAAATTGCCATACTAAATACTCTTAGTTTTAGGTATTTTCCTTAGGAATAATTTTTATGGTACTGGTGTAAATTTTCAACATTTTCAGTACAGGTTGAACATACTATTCACTACCTAGAGAGGACAACTAGGTCATGCCAAGATCTTGGTAATAAAGCCTTTCTACATTGTAATATAAAGATATAGACTAAACTATATTCAATTTTCCAAAATTACATAATCATCCTGTATATTTTCCAGTCCTAATTCAAATCATTCCGTAGTGTCTCTTCCCCAAAAAGAAGTTCAGAATTTCTTTTGACTAATTCATGAATGCCAAAACTATATTTAACATTGTTTGCACTAGATTTTTGACACATTAATTAACATATTTTTCCTAAAAAAGAAAAGGCCAGGCTGTACACTGCAAAAGCCAGGTTAATCCTGAACAGGAAGATTAGGGTTAGCTAAAATTTACTTTGTCTCTATCATAGTAGTTAAGTTTAATTCTTACGTGCTCTAAACTTTCTTCAGTACGCTCAGAGTCAGTGAGATTAATCTCCAGTCGTCATAAAACTTGTATGGATATTTCTGGGTCAAGAAATATTCTGTTAGCTGTTAGATAATAGATCAAGAGTCAAGACTGTTGGTTTTTTACCATCAAAGTAAACCACTCATAAACATTGCCATTATCCAAGAAATTGTGATAAAAACTGCTGGGTACTTATAATGTGTCCATAGTTCTGTGTTTGAGGTAAATCAATTGATAAGCTTGATGTGCTTGTTTTTCTTATTTTTCACACGTAGAAAGCACTTGTAAATTTCTGAGGAAGAGAATGTAATCAGCAGTATACATTCGATATATATACAAAATTGGCTTATTCAACATGATCAAATGCAACCTATTACAAACCTCTGAAGCATTAGCATCATAACTCTAGGGGAAAATAAGGACAAGTAGTAAACCCACTAAGTATCTAATACAGCAATTAAATAGTTGTTTATTATAGTGTTTGTAATAAACATCCAAAAATTGGAGGAAAAAATAAAATTGTATTTTTGTAAGTTTCCCCACCATGTCACTTCTTAATCTTCTTTAATAGCTGCTTCTAAAAGGTCAAACTGTGTCTTAACTCAATCTTTTGATCAGCAAATAAGCCCTTGAAGTTAAAAATATTTTTACTGATGGCCTCAATGACTGAGCAGGGAGAATGGAAAAATAGCAGTTAATATGATCTGTTTGCTATTTGATTTTGTCTTAATGATCAAACCATGTTTAATTATAGCTGTATGTTTTGGGTATGTATTTGTGATGCTTGCTTGCCCTTTATGTTCCTGTTGTTTTAGAAGTAAATACTTAAAACATTAATGGTATCTTTCAAGTGCCTGAGGTTCCCAAGAAGCTTGTTCCAGAGGAAAAAATACCTATTCTGAAGAAAAAAGAAGCTCCTCCAGCAAAAGGTATATATAATCTCTTTATGTTAGCAGACATTCTCTGAATATGTAATTCACGGTATTTTTCAGATGCCTTACTTGATCATTACTTTTTTCTGTTCTTTTTGGAGGGGGCTCTTCATATGAAATGTTTGTGCTGCTGTCTTTTTTGTTTCATTTCTGTTTTGAACAACTTGTGGATGATTTTTTAACCAAAATAATGTCTTTTAAGTGCCTGAGGTGCCAAAGAAACCTATACCTGAAAAGAAAGTCCAAGTGCCGAAGAAGGAAGCTCTCCAAGCTAAAGGTATATGAACTTTTAATTAGCTGTGATCAGAAAGGTCTTCTAGACTTCATTTATCTTCTCACTTGTATTAAACACTAGGATAGTAAAACGATTGTTGCTCTTAAGAATTGTGGTTCTTTGTGTTTGTGTTCAATTGTTTAGTGTCACTGACTTGTACGTCACAGTGTTTTAGAGTCTTATGCCAAGCTCAATTTACAATATCTTACTAAGTTCCAGAAGTGCCAAAGAAACCTGTACCAGAAGAGAAGGTTCCTGTTCCTGTACCAAAAAAGAAGGAAGTTCCACCAGCCAAAGGTATAACAGCTCTTGATTGAAAGTGTTAAAAAATATTTGAAAAATCAGTCTTTGTTCACCTTCCCTCTTTAGTGTAATGCAGAGTGAAGAGCGTTTTCTATTCTTGGCAGCTCTTCTTTATCATTCCACTTCATTGATTCATATCATTATTCTTTACCTTCTGGTTCAAAAATGAAATTCTTAAACTACAATAATATTTTTAAAGTTCCTGAAGTACCAAAGAAACCTGTGCCAGAAGAGAAGGTACTTGTCCCAGTGCCTAAAAAAGTGGAAGAACATCCACCAGCCAAAGGTACACCAGTTTCTATTTCAATTGCATAATCCTAGTATTGTTTCTTCAGCTTCAGAAGACTGCAAGTAACAATCCCATTCCTCATCCTAGTGTGTTTGATATCGAACCACTCACTGGCCTATGTGTGATCAGGGCACTGTGTTTTGGCTGTTTCTTTTAGTCATGGGTGCTATGCTTATTCTATACTTTTGAAAATTTCTATGTTTCTGTCTTGTATTGTCTCTGTCTTTTGGATCTTATATATCTAAATTATTATAAATTACTTGCTGTTTCAAAAACAGATGCTCCAAAAGATTAGCAAAGTACCTAAACAGCCAGATTTCCCCCTTAGCCTTACTATGCCAATTTGTAATGCTGTAGTCTGTATGTTTGTAAGTTTCCATCTGTGCATAAATCTGTGGATAAAATCAATGTTATCTTTCATGCACAATTAAATTTTGTCATATTTGTGTAGTTATCTTAATATCAGTAATGCAGTTATCGTTTTACTATGCTTTATGTTGCATTGAAAATTAATTTCTTAAACAAAAATGTCTTTGAAGTGCCTGAAGTGCCCAAGAAAGTTCCAGAAAAGAAAGTACCTGTCCCTGTACATAAAAAGCCAGAACGTCCACCAACCAAAGGTATCTCTTCTCATAACTGAACATGTGGATGATGCTTCTTGTTATTTCTGTATGTTTGTTGTTAGAATTTAATGGAAGTATTGTAGCAGTTTGTGACAGATGTACTTGCTAGTTCATAATCTTTAGCTTCTGTGTAAGTTTTCTCTGTTTCTGATGTTCTGTCCAAGTTTTCTACAATTAAATACTATCTTTGAAGTGCCAGAAATACCAAGACCTGCCCCTGAAGAGGTACCTATATTTGTTGCTGAAGAAGAAGAGGAAGAAGAGGAAGCCGTTCCAGAGATACTAGCAAAAGGTACACCATTCCTTCTTGAAAATTATCGGAGAGCTTTGTTCAGTTCATTAAAAGATCTTCATCTCTATTGATTGTTTTAAGCTGGTTGTAAACCTTTAATTAACCTTTTGAGGGGAGTTTTCTTCTTATTATTGGTCTTTGTGACTTTGGTCCATGTCTTTAGTAGTTTTGATACTCTAAAAGTAATTGAAAATTTCTTATCAAAACAATATCTTTAAAGTGCCGGAAGTGCCCAAGACAGCTATCCCAGAAGAACCTGTTGCCGTTCCTAAAATAAAGAAAATTCCACCAGCTAAAGGTATATCACACTGTGATGTATGCAGATAATTCCTCTGCCTTACATTTTCATATTTCAGTGGAATCTCATTTTAAAAATCAGTTTATACTTATGTAAAGTCAGATCCTTTGTTCTAGCGCCCTGCTGCTCCCCTATAGTGAGCAGTGCTGTGTCTCAGGCAGGGCTTGATTGTCTGTTTTGTTATTGACTTCAGTGGACTGAGAATCAGGCCTTGAATGATCTACTTTTTTTCTTTTTAAGTGATTGCTGTGAATTAAATAGTTCATTATGATATCATTATTCAGAACTAATGTTTAAATTCGTTTAAATTTTGTTTAAACAAAATACCTGGAATAATATTTTATGGGCCTTTACCTGGAAATTCTTCAATTCAGGGAGATTATCCTGATATATACCTTAAGAGTACACTAAAATCTCACCTTTTGCGTAAACTTATATAAAAATAAAATCAAATCACAACTGGCCATACGAATAACCAGAAGATACACCCTAAATGTGAAATTCAAAGTGGAGGCAGACTATTGCATAGGCCACCGTTTGGTGCCGAGAAAATTCTGCCTTAGCAGCTGAGGTTTTGTAAAAAAAATTGAAAATCAGACACTAGACATTTTTTATGTAAAAAATTAGATGCTAATAATCTTCTACAACCTCACATTTGTAGCATATCTTGCTAATATTTTTCTGTTGGCAATGATGCTGTGTAATTAAGAATTGGACGAAAGAGCTAATCCTCCTATAATCGTTATAACCCAATTGCACTTCACTGTTTTCAGGGAGTGAAAAATAACTAATAAAGTTTCCCTTACTTTTATTACTATTGTTACTTTAAAGTTGGTGTCCTTGCATTTTATGTTATGAATTTTTCTTTGTGATGTTGTGAAAATAAAGTTCTTAAAATAATATCTTTAAAGTACCTGAGGTGGCAAAGAAAGTTGTGCCTGAAGAAAAGGTTCCCATTTTTGCTCCTGAAGAGGAAGAAGAAGAGGGAACTATTCCAGAGGAAACTATACCAGCAAAAGGTATACAATATTTTTGAACAAGTTACTCCTGAAATCTTTTGGGTTTGTTAAGATTCATCTTTATTTCTTGTTCTAAGTTGTATGTAAATCTTAATGATCTTTTTTGGAAGCTTGTGATCTTGTTTCATGTTTTTCCATGCTTATAATGCTCTGAAATCTGTTTTAAAATCTGTTTGCAAAATAATATCTTTGAAGAGCCAGAAGTTCCTAAGAAACCTGTCCCAAAAGAAAAAATATCTGTACCCACTCCTGAGAAACTGGAGCTTCCTCCAGCAAAAGGTACATAAATGAATACTTAGGAAAACAATGTGTTGTTATTCTCATTCAGTGTCTCTATTTATTTTATTTTGTTTGTTATTTATATTAGTTTTGTGTCCCTGCTGTCTTTCTGTTTTGATGTCTCAGAGTGCCTGTCAAATTCCCAGTGAAAAATAAGCTCTGGAATGATTTGACTTGTTCCAGAAGTCTGCCTATAGATATAAAGTGTCTTTTGTTTTTATTTCTGTTTCATCTGAAAAGCATTTAAAATACATTCTGCAGATCAGTTCTTATTTCATTATGTCTGTTTGTGTATGTTTTCTGTTGTCTTTCTCATACTACTGGTGGATGACATTCTTAAAATAAAATAATGTCTTTAAAGTGCCTGAGATGCCCAAGAAACCTGTTCCTGAAGAGAAAGAACCTGTTCCTAAAAAGGTGCCAGCTCCACTAGCCAAAGGTATTGCATTTTGTAAATGCTGTTATCATTAATAGATAACATTCTTCATACAAGCTGAGTTAGCAAGGAACATTTTAGTATGTCTGTCTCGTATTATATTTGTTACTATAGTATGTGTTTGTTTGTAAGTTTCTGTTTTGCTGTTTGTAAGCTTCTGGGTTTGTGTCTATTTAAAAATTGTGCAAAAGAACACTGAAGTTAGGTCCTATCTTTAAAGTACCCAAGATGCCTAAGAAGGTTGCTCCTGAAGAGAAGATACCTGTTGCCCCCCCTGAAAAAGCAGAGGTTCCAGCTGCAAAAGGTATATGTACTCCTGATTATAATTAATATTTATACTAAAAATACTCTTGACCTTCTTCTTTCTAACTTTTGTCTTTGTTGTATGAGATTTCTGCTTGAATTTACGTTAAAATTCTTCATTATCAATGTTTGCATTGTAGAACCATAAAGCTCTGTTTCTTGTGCTTTTTTACTTATACTGCTTTAAAGTGGGTGTGTTTTTTTTTAAATTCCTAAAAGAAATCTGTATCTTTAAAGTTCCTGAAGTGCGTAAAAGAGCTGTTGCAGAAGAGAAAGTGCCAGCTGTTGTGCCCAAACCCAAAGAACCAATACCAGCTAAAGGTACAGATACATTTCTTCATATTCCTCCCAAACATTTGGTTTTCCTCCTCGTTCCTAAAGTCTTTTATAGTATATATACAGTTTCAGAAGCATATTCTTATATTTTAATGTAACTTATGCTTGTGGTTGTCATGTACATTTTCTATGTGGATCATCTTGACTAACTGTAAAAAAAAAAAAATAAAAAATTAAAGAATTGTAAGGTCATAACAATGATACTGTTTCTAAAGCGCCTGAAGTATCCAAGAAACTTATCCAGAAAGAAAAAGTGCCAGCTCCTGCTCCTGTGGTGGAGAAGTATGAGTACACATATGAAGAGTATGAGAAATACGAGACATATGAAAGTATTGAAGAGTTTGAGAAGGTTCAGGAAACTGAAGAAATTGAGGCATATGAGGAACCTGAAGAACCTGATAGATATAAGGAGATTCAGGAACAGGAATATGAAGAGGAGGCTGAGGAGAAAGATGTCTATGAAAAGTATGAGTTTAAGGAAAAGGAAGAGATCTATGAGAAATATGAAGAGGTGTATGAGGATGCTTACGAAATCCAACCAGCTATAGGTACATCAAGTCACGGTTTCTTTATTCTTATAGCTTGTTGAGTTCCCAGCTACTGCTTAAGCCTCCTTTGGGTGTTTATTTATATCTTTCCCTGTTTGTAGTTCTATGTGTGTCTGTTGCTAGTAATGATAAATCCATTTAAAGATTGTTCCTCTCCTACCCCTTTCTAAGGAATTCTTCCCTTCAGAGTAGAATGGGAGGATTCCTCATCTGAATGACCAAGAGTGAGCTAGTTGTAGATATGACACATGCAAAGTAAATGATAATTTTCTGATGCACTTCAGCTTCAGCCTGAATTAAATATTTTAATGTGCCAATATTTGTTTCTTTTGCCCAGTTTAGCTCCTGTGAGTTACAAAGATGAGTTAAAACTCATGTGGGATCTTCCTTGTCATCATCTAAATTTATGATCATAGGATCCTTCATGTCAAACAGAAAGTGCATCTAAAATGTACCAGAAAGATGTATGCAGATATTCCTTAGTTTTCTTTGCTCAAGAACTCTGAGATAAGTGGCTGTTCACTTGTCTCTGCATAAATGAGATGGTTCCTCTACAAATGAGTGATTGCTCTGCTTGCTGTCTTTGTTGTAATTCCTCATAAATGACTTAAAATCCATAATGAAATATTTTTTTAAAGTTCCTGAGGTGCCTAAAAGACCTCTTCCAGAAGAAAAAGTCCCTGTTCCTGTTCCTAAAAAAGAAGCTCCACCAGCTAAAGGTACATCAGCTGTTAGATAAATTTAAAAACATAGCCCTCTGCCTGGGTCCTGAATCCCCAAATCCAGTAATTTAGCTATTCTGATTTGACTGCTAGACCCTTAACTTTCTTTCACAGTACTGTGAAAGATAGGGATTAAGTTACTAAAAAAACAGTATTTCTTTAACATATCAAAACTGAGACAGATTACTTTCTGAGGAGAAAGGAAGTACAGGCAGGACCTTCAAGATTTAATTTTTGTTATCACAATATAAGTGACATTTTATAGCTAATCATTGAAGACAAGCAGATGAATAAATTAATAAAAGTCTGTTGAGCTTTAGTATGATATCAATGAAACTCTAGTTTCCTGCAGAATCCTAAAAGCTAGGACCTTCTTCAACCTAATTATATGCTGGAGTGCATACAGTCTTGATAGGTGTTCTCTGTATCAAGCTCTACAAAAGATAAGTGTCATGAATAGCAGTTGTCAGTGGATGCTAGTATAGTTTCTGTACTAGCCTGGAGCTCTGTAATTTTATGTTCAGAGCACTTCATTTGCCAGAAATTCATTTTGTGCTGGCTTCTATAGTTGTTTCTCATAGGAATCATGAAAATGAAATCAGTGGGGAAG